TGAAGGCTCAGTGCCAGGTAATAGAGATGAAAACGCTCATGGTGTAGTATTATGAGATGTATTTATTAAGTATAAATCATTATGATAAAACAGTAAATGTACAGGGTTAAAGTACCTATAAAAATATAGTGTGAATGAGCTCTTTGAATGCACTGACCAGTGGGTAAAAAATGATGGCCACCGGACCTCCTGATCCGGTGGCGTAACGTCAAGGCGTGCAGAGGCTCCTCCTAGACGCGCTTCGTGTAATAACACGTCTCCTGTAGGGGTGATGCCATTACCCCTACAGGAGACGTGTTATTACACGAAGCGCGTCTAGGAGGAGCCTCTGCACGCCTTGACGTTACGCCACCGGATCAGGAGGTCCGGTGGCCATCATTTTTTACCCACTGGTCAGTGCATTCAAAGAGCTCATTCACACTATATTTGTATAGGTACTTTAACCCTGTACATTTACTGTTTTATCATAATGATTTATACTTAATAAATACATCTCATAATACTACACCATGAGCGTTTTCATCTCTATTACCTGGCACTGAGCCTTCACATCTCAGCCCAGCATTCTAGGAGTCCACTCAGGCAGGAGAATTTGGGATATAGGTCCAGACCATCATCTCTGGCAGCCGTCACCCCATTTACCACCAGAGGACACCTTTATCATCAGGCTGTACCTTCACGGGACTTCCGGCTTCATGGAATTTCTATGTGCACATTAAATTGCACTTCCGGTGAGTGGGCAATTTTTCTACACCTTCATGTTAGGATGCTGGAATATACCCATTTGGACTGAAGTCATTTATACTCCATCACTGGAATATACCTTATTGGACTGATATCATATTACCTTGGACTGTATATCATTCAGTTTATAGGACTTTTTGTCATATTTTGTCATACTTGTGACAGTGTGTTTTATTTGTATAGCGCTGCACACCCCATTTTTATGTCATATTCTTAGAAAGGTTTTGTGGTTCCTTTTTGTGTATCAGCAGCTTTATATGGTGCGCTCGCTAACTCACACATCTATACTTTAATTTGTTTATGCACTTTATGTGTTTTTGGAATATTTATTTGGATATTTGCACTTTATTTATTTTTGAGTATTTATTTGTTACATATTATTTTTTGGATATATTGTATTGGCAATTGGTATCACAATTATATAAGTAGCTGCTTTACAAGTATTCTTGTTTCTCAGCGGTGCATGCCCCAGGGGGCACGTGGGGATGTGGTCCTAGGAGGACATCCATGGACACCCTCCCAGGACTAGATGACTGTGCTGTAGCCGTCATTTAGCTATATAGTGGTCAGGAACTGGTTAACTGACTACATGGTAGGCTGTAATATTTTCTGAATGGTAAAAAAAATCTGCCTGTAATTTACTTTATTAAATCAAATTATTTCCACATAATGATAAACTAGTAGATAACAGTACAGTTATACAACTTTATTGCATATCACTTTCTAAACTGCAAAAATATTATCTCTGTTTATGATTTTTTTTTATTTACACCAGACATATTGTAAAACAGAGCAACATTGTGATATCGAACCATGCACAATTATTGCTCTGGTGAAAGGAAATCCTGAAAATTTAACAAGGTTTTTGTCAGAACTAATTGCATGAGAATACACTAGAAAGGGTGCACCACGTGGGTTTTATGTTTCCAAAAAAAGGTAAGCCTACATTGTGGCTGAAAAGTGAGATCCGAGACCATGCTAGTACAATATCCACAGAGACACTGGAGGATGCATTTACTCACGTTCATTATCATTATCTGATTGTAACAGTATAGTAGCCAAGAGATTGAACATGTAATGGGAAAGCCAAATAAAACCAAAGACTGTGTATTTGAGACTCGACTGATGTCAGAGTGCATGCTTTTCCATGTACAGGGTAGATGGTCTATCTGCTTACAAAGGGGTGACAGTTTGTTTTATTCACAGGTGTATAGTCAGCAAGTTAAAGGTTACGTGTAAAGATCACCTAATCTCTCTGTGCTCAGTTCAGAGAGCCATTGGCAGTTTAGAGCATTATCTCCATTTTTCTTCCACACAGGTATTTTGTTTCTGATTGGAATGAAAAGCTTTTTTAATTTAATTCCTAACTAAAATAGAGAATGTTGTGCAATCTTAAATAGCACCTGGTCAAATCTTGCTTTATGTCTTTTAGCAGGATGATCGCATGACATTGCTTAGCCTGTGCAATTTTGACTTTTTTTCACCATGTTTATGAGGAACAAAACCTTAAAACCAAGCCCACAATCTTTTTTGTAGGACACGTTGCTAAATTATATAATCAGCGTCAACTTAACTGGTAATGGGGTCCTCTTTGGAATGTTATGACTAGATGATGTAGCACATCCATACATTAGTGTTCTGTGTCATCAATATAAGGCATGCTCACCTAGTGATCCATTCAGCTGGTGACTAAAGTCACAAATGATGTGTGGGAGGACCTATGATCCAGAAAAACATCACTGTGCACTTTAAGGAACATAAACAGCCAAGGAGTTCTGATGAGCATCCACCATAAATCAGCCAGATTCAGTAAGAATCGGGTGTAAAAAACAGTTTGCTCATTATCAGTCATAATCTGTGCTCCAATAGGAGGCAAGGGTGTTGTTGGGGTCTCAACTTTTAGTGTGCCAACATGCAACCCAGAGACGGCAGCTTTTCTAGTGCAGGATAAGCCTTGTTTTCTGCTTCACTGAGATGAAGCAGTGGTCATGGTGTATAGTCTATTTGGAAATGAGAAGAGTAAACATGCTGTGCAAGTCCATGACAACCAAGAATGTCTTAAAAATGCACCTTTTCAAGCCGTTAAGAGGATCTTTCTTCAAGATGACCCGTACAGAATACAAATTGTTAAGAGCAATGTTCCTAAAATTGTGAGTTCCAATATACTACAGTATACTACAGTATATCCTTTGAAGAAGTGCCAGACCTCACACCAGTAGAGATAAGAGGGTGTAAGTTTGTTATCAATAGCAGTTAAAAATGTATAGAAATTCAGGGGATTGCCAACCACTAGCGAATGTATAAACCTGTCAGATTCTTATAGCCTCATGGTATTAGGATCGTAGTTCAGAAACAAAAGCAGTATAATCTGTAACTTTATACTTGTACTGCCAGCAAGCTGTGTATGCTTGATCTGCCAGGCATCCTGCTTTCTTGTCCTATACTTTCAAATCAGTTCAAGTGCTGTACTTTAAAGGATAGCTGTACTTTCAGGGCAATGTAAATGTGGAGAAAAATATAAAAAGGCCAGTAGTACAAAAAATATATATAAAAACATATATACTGAACAATATCAATGCATGAATGAACAAAAACAGTTTTCAGAACACAAAGTTTTTCAGGCTAGTGATTTATAAATATTCTCAAAAAGAAACCCTGGCCTTAACGAAAAGAGTGTTTATTGGAGATTCCAGTGCCACTGGACTTTGGCTTAAAGTAGCATGACACCTACTGTCCCTCATTCTGCTGCAAGGCTAATGTATGAATTAAAAGGTCAATGTTCTGGTCACCCTGCTTTTTCTCCCCTACGCACACAAAGCAACCAATCTTAGACTAGTGATGTACCAAAAGTACCTGGGTTTGGTTCGAAGTGGGTTTGGGAAACTCTACTGAAGTTCTGAACCACATTGAAGTCAATAGGAGCTAAAATGTAAAAGCCAGTAATGGCCATTTTCTAGGATAATAGGTAAGATTGACAAGTGAAACGGGGCGGTGGGCACTTGCCTGTGTACCAAAGCAAAACAAAATGTTTTTAAATTCTGCTTGGCAGGGAGTAGCAATCTAATCATGCTTAACATAAAACATTAAAAATTTAAAATGTCTTTAACCATTGCCCTCCTGAGGATTCCCCCCCCCCCCCCCCCATGACCAGGCCATTTTTTTGCGTTATGGCGCTGCGTTATTTTAACTGACAATTGCACGGTCATGCAACGGTACACCCAGATGAAATTTACGTCTTTTTTCCCACAAACTGAGCTTTCTTTCAGTGGTATTTGATTGCCTGTGCATTTTTTTTTTTTGTGCTATAACCAAAAAAAAAAAAACAATTTTGAGAAAAAAAACTGTATTTTTGACTTTTTGCTATTAAACATGTCCAGTAAAAAAATTTTAAAAAAATCAAATTGTCATAAATTTATGCCAAAATGTATTCTGCTACATGCTTTTGCCAAACAAAAATCCCAATACATGTAAATTACGTGAAAGTTATAGTGTTTACAAATGGCTGTATAGATAATGGGATTTTTTTTTCTACTAGAAATAGCGGCGATCAGTGACTTTTAGCGAGACTGCGGGACTGTGGCGGACATTCTGACATTGGGGAGAACTAACTTGGTATCACTGACATCTCCAGTGACACCAATATAGTGATCAGTGCTAAAAAAACACTGACACTGTACTAATGGCACTGGGCAGGAAGGGTTTAATGTGAGGGGCAATCAAAGGGTTAACTATGTGCTGGAAGTGTTTTACTAGGTGGCGAGTGGGTGTGTTCTTCACTGTAAGCACACTGATCGGAATGGCTGTACTGTGCATAGCCATCCCAAGCAGAGTGCTCGAGCTGACAAACAATCTTCCTCCCCGTCAGAGATGCTCGGGCACTGGTGGGTAATTACCAGGTGGGACCCGGTGATTGACATCCATGGCCGCAAATAGCAGCGGCGGGTAGGGCATGCGCATGGCTCATGCACGTCTCCAACCCAGAAATGCAAAATCACGCAAATGTTTGTGATTTTGCGCACAGGTGCCACCCTGTAGCAGTATATATGCTATAGGACGGTCCTTAAGCAGTTAAATTACCTGCCTGTAAGTGGTGCATCTATATGATGTATACAAAGTACTACAGCAAATTTACAAATAAAAAATTAGATTTAAATTGCTGGTAAATGACAGCTCCTTGCTGCTTACTTCTGACTGTACCCAAAGTGAGTGGGAATTCCCTTCATCTATATCAAACCCAGGGGCGGACTGACAACTCATGGGGCCACGGGGCAATAGGGGATCATGGGGCCCCTGTGTCCTTGCCCAAACTCAAAAAGGCCTATGAAAAAGGTACCAGGGGCATCTCATGGGGCCCCCTACTGACCCCGGGCCCTCGGGCAGTGCCCAAGTTTCCAAATGATCAAACCCTTATCCTATATGCGTGTCTGATATAGATGTTAATGGGGGCCCCAACAAAAAAAAGGCACGGGTTTCACCCATAAAAAAAAAATAGATACAGCATACCTACATAAACAGACAAGAAAAAAAAGTAAGCTCCCTCTAAAACCCATATCAGACCCTTACCTGAGCATTCAGCCTGCCTGATTAAAGTGGTTGTAACGGCGTATCTATACTCAGTGAAGTGAATGGCCTCAGGTGATACATAGAGATGAAACAAATCCTCTTACATACGTTGTACCTGTTTATTTTTAGCCAATCGTCCTGTACATCCTTGTAAAACTCAAGATGAAAGGATTTTTTACAGACTCACAAAAACAGGGGGCAGAGAGCTAGAGTTATACATTGTACAAGATCTCTGAGAGCTGATTAAAGGGAAGGCACGCACCCACCGTAACACAGCACACAGTAACAGAGTTGAGGCTGTCAATCACAGTCTGTGTGCTGGAGGTACCTCCCCTGTCACCTTTTTAGCTCTTGGTGTCAGGAAAACTTGTCAAAAGTGCCTTATACTGATAACAAAGGAATGAGACAGCATAGAGAAATGACACTTGGTGCATTGGAGAGAGGTCAGCAGACAATATATAAATAAGTACCTTTTTCAGATTTTATGTTTAAAACCACTTTAAGTGTGTGCCCTTCTTAACCATAGCAGGTCCCATTCCCTTAACATGAGGGTGTCTGTGGATAAGGGGCCTTATTGGAAAACCCCCTTTAAGATAAGAGGACCCTCAGATACCAACCTTCCATGTGATGGAGTAAAGGATACCACTTTAAAAAAAAAAAAAAAAAAAAGTAAATAATGACCACACACGTTTTGACATGTCCTTTAATAAAAATAAAAAAAAACCCCTGAGATGTAAATCCATTGCAATTACATCATCCACTGAATCATGATGAATGATCCCCACCAAAAGAAAATCCTGCTCCTGACACTCATTTGCACCAAATGACCAAATGACATCTCCTGGGCCCGACTTCTAAATATAAAAACATGGGTTAGGCAGGGGCAGACTGACCATTTGGAAACTCGGGCACTGCCCGAGGGCCCGGGGTCAGTAGGGGGGCCCCATGAGATGCCCCTGGTACCTTTTTCATAGGCTTTTTTGAGTTTGGGCAAGGACACAGGGGCCCCATGATCCCCTATTGCCCAGGGGGCCCCATGAGTTGTCAGTCCACCCCTGGGGTGAGGTCTCCTGTGTGGTCACCTTGATCAAATATGTCCATGGCCTATAAGTCTCTAGAAAAAGAAAACTAACATGCCACTATAGTATACTAAGTTGATGTGCGAGCGTTCTTACATCCCTACTGTTATTGAGCAGACCAGTTGTTTGCATGGGCAAAGCTTAGGTTCCCTTTAAGTCTGCATTACATGAAGAAGTACTTTAGCTACTAATATTACATTGCTTTCCTGTGTAAAGCCTCTTTTTCTTTAAAGCTGAACTCCAGGCCCAAAACTTGAATTGATATTCCTCATTAGCCACAGAGGTTGTAAATCCACTTTGTGTGCATCCATGACTTGGAAAGCCCAGATGGTAACATAAAAATAGCAATGACATCATCACTGAGCTACACATTTACCTGTACATAGAGCAGAGCTTTGGAAAGAAATACACAAAGCACATCATAATTCCTGTAATAATACACATGCCTCCTACATTTAGACAACATTTGCTCATCCTGGAGTTCAGCATTAATATTTTGTTTCCTTTGGTACAGTAAACTGTCACTAACAATGGCAAATGAAACTGACGATTGAATGGAAGATTAGATACTAGGTGCTTTTCACTTAGTAAACCACTGCTGCAGGGTGCTCTGAACCTTGAGTTCCCACATTAGGAAGATTACAGCATTTAGGTGTCCGTTTGTGAACCAGCGGTAATAGATCGCTGCTCAGTTCTCCGGCATTCTCGGAGAACACAGTTCTCCTGTGAATGCAGTTTATGAAGCAGTTCTCCCGAACGAAGGGAGAACGGTCTCCAAACACTGGAGAACGGTCTGCAAACTCTGAAAAAACGGCTCATTTTACTATAATCTCTCGAGATTACAGTAAAAGATCAGTTTACTAAGCAGAGGTAAATTATCTCTGCTTAGTTTTCGGTCCCTCTGATTCTCCAGCTCTGGGCTGGAGAATCTGGAGGGAGAACACAGATCTCCAGAGAAGGGCTGACATGATCTCCTGAGTGTCATAAACTGTGAATGACCAGAGAATAGCTGAGATCTGTTGAATCGCAGCTATTCTCTGTGTCATAAACGGACACCAAAGTCAGCTTGATGCTGACACACAGGGGTAGATTTACTAACACTGGAGCACTCAGAATCTTGTACAGCTGCGAATGGTAGCCAATCAGCTACTAATTTCAACTTGTTCAATTAAACTTTGGCAATATAACCTGGAAGCTGATTGGTTTCTATACAGAGATTCACCAGATTTTGCACTTTTCAGTTTTAGTAAATAATCATCAATGTCCTGATGAATCCTGCAATTCAAAGCAAGGTGCCTAACTCTAGGTTGCTGAGACTCCTGTATTAAAGTGTCCAGAAGGTCACTGGTTAAAGCTTATAGGAGGAGTTTTCATTCTCTTGTAGGAAGATGCAGGTAGCCTGACCTCTGTATGGACAGTGCTGATTGGCCCTGTGCTGATCACATGCACTCTCCAAAGAAAAAAAAAACCTGTCTAGCAATACACCCCAAACTGAACATGCGCAGCTTGCCCCCAAGGCTCTTTTCTATCAGTAAATTGATTGGGAACAGTAGATGAAGGGGAGGATTAGAGAAAACAGGATCAAACATCCTTTTTACACAATGCAGAGGATTACCCTTTAGGTTCCACAGTGAGTATAACAAGCATGCTGTACTGCACATACAGACCGATTTTACTGTTGTGGGCTTAGTAACGCTGCACGTTCTGGGGAAAACATGTGAAACTGCACTTGCAAAGTGCACAGTCTATTTCTCTTTATTAAAACTCAACCTCTTTATTTTAAATGAGATTTAGCAAACCCTTGGTGAATCAAACCTAGGCAGATTTGCCCATCGCTATTCATCATCAACAATAAAGTTGTGTATATTGTAGAAGACAAGTGTGCCATCAAGCCTTTGAAAACTTTTAAGCACTCTCCCAAGAAAAAGAAACTCTCTAGCAATACACACCAAACTGAGCATGTGCAGCTTGCCCCCAAGGCTCTTTTCTATCAGCAGATGTATTGGGGACAGTAGAAGAAGGGGATGATCAGAGAAGACAGGATCAAACATCCTTTTTACACAATGTGGAGAATTAACCCCTTAGGTTCCACAGTGAGTTTAATAAGCATGCTCTACTGCATATACAGACTGATTTTACTGTTGTGGGTTTAATAACACTTTAGTGGTATGATGATGGTGGTTTGGGGGGTTGCCAGGACTTCTTGCCATAGTGGTTTTAGAGTGAAAAGCACCAGTTAGCACCTGATGGCACTCAGACGTCCATTTAAAATGTCTTTTTCTGTATCTGTGTTAGAGACAGGTTTTACTTAAACAATCTCCAACAAAAGAATATTCTTTATTTTTAAATGAACAGGCTACTGTGTGCAGCAAAGGGTAATCTTGCTGGCTTAAATTAGTGGTAAGCTTAAACCTTCAAAGACAATTGTACGCCAGTGTTTGATGTATTTCACTGTAATTAGCATATCATTCAGCACAGTTAAATGCTTTCACTAATACTTCCCAAAAGTTAATGTAATGCAAACACCAAAAGTGAAACTCCTGTTTTGCAGAGAAAAAAAACAATCTTCTTTAGGTAAACTAACTATATATATATATATATATATATATATATATATATATATATAGCAAAGATTTTAGTATACTGTTTTGTTATAAAGAAAATTGTGTTTTTTGTTCTTTCTCAAACTGGTGGGCAAATGTAACAAGCTTCTTTCATTATCAATACCTCAGCGATCTCATTGTTGTAATATGAAAAGGATCATCATTTGTAACCCTGTAGCTACAAAAAGTCTTAGGTTGGCTATATACTCAAGAACAAGGGACAGCCCATGGGCTGCTTACAGTGGGGGACTGGCAGGTAAACGTATTTCATGCTAATTCATTACCCTAAAATGCCAGGCTAGTGCAAACACCCCCTCAAATGACCCCTTTTTGAAAAGTAGACACCCCAAGGAATTTGATAAGAGGCATAGTGAGTATTTTTCAGATAACATTTTCATCACGGGGTGTTGAAAAAGAAAAGATAAAAATTATTTTTTGTTTTCTTTCTTCATTTTTCAAAAACTTGTGGCAATAAATAAGATCTGCAAAATACTCACCATGCCCCCTTAGCTAATACTTTGGAGTACTTTCCAGAAAAGGGTCATTTGGTGGGTGCTTCTACTATCCTGGCATTTAAGGGCCAATGGGTAATGAATAAGCGCTGTCTTTAGCGTGAAATGCATTTACCTGACAGCCCCCTACTGTATTTCCACTGTCTGTATTGCTTTTATCTTGGTTCAATAAAGTGGATTGTTTGGAATGCAGCCGATCGGACGTGCTTTGTTCTCATCTATGCAGCACACGAGCTGGACTAGCACCTACAGGAGGAGTTGTGCTTGGAGATTGGGATTCTCTCTATCTTGAGCAGCATTAATACATATATTGGCTATATACTTGTCGAAGGAGCCTAGCTAGAAAGTTTTTGGCTGAACAGCATTCAATCAGAAGCAGTCAATGCTTGGCCATTCTGACAGACGCCACCAGGGGTGGTCAGAATACAATAGCCCAGCATGGGCATTAGTCCGTTTGTGCTGTTTCATGTGTTTTAAGGAATCTTTTGGATTTCTTTTGTTCAGTAGACATGTGCAATTCGTTTTGGTCCGAATCTAAATTTGGATGCATTTTTAGTTATTCGGGCATTCGGATGTGTTTAAATTTCCAAATAGTAGTGAATTTTGTTAAAATTGTTTCATTTTGTTTATTCGTTTTCTAATGAATTCCAAATTTTCAGAACAATTTGAATTTGAATCGGGCGAAAATGTATCAACCCAATGAAATTCTGTGAGAAGAATAGCTGGTTTTTAAGGAGTGGGCCAGGAAGCCAACTGCCACATCCTTAACAACCGAAGGGCCTGGTATGGATGTCTCCCTCCTAGATTGTAAGCTCCAAAGAGCAGGGCCCTCGAACCCCTCGTGTATTGTATTGTCACTGTATTGTCTCATGTACTGTCCCTCACTATACTGTACAGCGCTGAGCAAACTTTTTGGCGCTATATAAATACTGTATAATAATAATAATGACTCATCAGCTGTCAGTGGTTTCTCCACTGACAGCTGAATGCAAAAAAAAAGAATTGCCAGCAATAATAAATTAAGAATAAAAATGGCATAGGGTCCCCCCTCCTATCCATACCAGGCCCCCCAAATCCCTACCAGACCCTTATCCAAGCATGCAGTCTGGCAGGTCAGGGAAGGGGGGCGAGCGAGCGCCCCTCCCCTCCTGAACCATACCAGGCCCCATGCACTCAACATGGGGGGTGCTTTGGGTTAGGGGGGCTCCCTCCAAAGCACGGGTACAAGGGCCTCTTCCCCACAATGCTGGGTGGTGGTTGTGGGGGTCTGACAGGGGGCTTATAGGAATCTGGAACCCCTACTCAGTCATCAAAAAAGTATAACAAGTGTAAAAAAAAAAAAGTTTTTGACAAGTCCTTTATTAAAAAAAACAAAAAATAAATGTCCCCCGGAGTAGATCCAATCATGATGAACGCTAGCCGCCAAGCCCCCCAAAAAAGAGGCTCTGCACCCAACGAAGGCTCCCACCATCTGACATCTCTTAAATAATAAAGAGGTGGAGCCACCCAGATGAATCCGCCCCCTTGTGACATCAACCCAGCATGCCCCGGTCAATTACATTTTGGCGTGGTAGGTATTGGAGGGGACCCCACATCGTTTTTTTTTCCTTAATTTTTCATTGCTGGCAATTCTTTTTTTTTTACATTCGGCTATCAGTGGGAAAACCCCCTTTATAGCCCGCTCCTTAATCACTTGGCTACCAGGCACTTATACCCCCAGGCCAATTTTCAGCTTTCAGCACTGTCACAATTTGAATGACAATTGCGTGGTCATGAAACACTGTACCCATATGAAATTTTTAGAATTTTTTTTCACACAAATACAGCTTTCTTTTGGTGGTATTTACTTGCCGCTGGGTGTTTTTTTTTTGCGCTATAAACAAAAAAAGAGCAAACATTTCAAAAAACAAAAAGTTTTTCTTTGTTTCTATCATAACATTTTGCAAACAGGCAATTTTTCTCCTTCACTGATGTGCGTTGATGAGGCTGCACTGATAGACAGCACTGATGGGCACTGATAGACGGCACTGATGAGGTGGTACGGATAGGCGGCACTGATAGGTGGCACTGATGAGCTGGCATTCATATGCAACAATGATGGGCACTGATAGGCGGCACTGATGTGTGGCACTGACTTGCGCCACTGCTGGGCACTGACTGGTGGCACTACTGGGCACTGATGGGTGGCACTGCTGGGCACTTGTGGGCAGCACTGCTTGGCACTGATGGGTGGCACTGGTGGGTGGCACTGCTGGGCACTTGTGGGTGGCACTGATCATCAGGGGCACTGATAATCGGTACCGATCCATCCTCTAACAATTGCTGGTTATCGGCAGTACTTTCCTCATGCTTTGACAGCGTGAGGAAAGTGCAGCCGATAACCAGCAACTGCATTTACTGGTGATCTGCTGTGTCCTTGGACACGGCTGATCACGTGGTAAAAGGCCGCTGTGATTGGCCTTTTACCACATCACATGATCAGCTGTGTCCATAGGACATAGCGATCATGAAAACTATTGGAAGCACGCCCCCGGGGGCGCGCGGGAGGGGCGCGTTCTGGGAGGTCGTCATATGATGCTCTCCCAGAAATGGTCGGCCGTGGTGAAGCCGTCATTCTGCTATCTGCAGTCGGCAAGTGGTTAAAGCAGAGTTCTACTCAACCTATCAAAAAATAAAAGTCAGCAGCTACAAAAACTGTAGCTGCCTACTTTTAAAAAACAGCCATTTACCTGCCCCTCGGTGTGTCCCCCACAGTTTGTTTCACTGGCCGTCCTGTATTCCAGGAGGCCGGCATCTTCAGTGTGGGCACCTGGCTATGACAGCTTGCAGCTTCACAGCCTGGTACCCATTGTGCATACGCGAGTAACGCTGCACTTCATGAATGGTCCTGTAGTCTTCTGTGACCTGTCATGTATCCCAAAAGACTACAGGGAGGGAGGGAGGTAGGACCAGACCAGAAGTGGGAGTGGGTACCTGTTATATTCGGATACCTGATCCCCCCCCCCCCGCTCCCCAAAGGTGCCAATCCTTAATGGGTAGCGGGGGAGCAGTCCGTAAAGCAGAATTTTCCCTTTTGGCTGGAGCTCCACTTTAACAGCTATTCTTCACACAGAATTTGGATTGATCGATAAATTTTTGACCGATTCAATTTCAAATTGTTCTTAAAATATTTATAAACTAAATGAAACTAGGCGAATTCCAAAATGAACCCACAAAATTAATTTACTAACATAAAACAAATTTATCCAAAACTAAGCAATTTTTTCTGATCTGCACATGTCTATTGATCAGCCCGCCAGTTGATTTTGGTAAAGGTGTAAAGCATGATCACTTTGCAAAGTAAATTTTCAATTAGTTTAGTGAATGAGATAAATATTTGCTAACTTCAATCATTCATTCACATATAAGCACAAACCCTAGTATTTTTCATTTTCCTTGCACATTTGTGCATTCAGTAAGCTTAGCCAAAGATCACTTTGCAAAGTGAATTTGCTCTATTCCTTCAGTAAATCAATCCCACTTTTTCAGCAAAAATGAAACACAGCAGTGGATGCCTCTAATTTGAAAAAGAAGGGACCCATTAATTTTATGTGAAAACATAGTCAATACTCAATGGCTGATGAAAGGAAACCTTCAGGCTAAAGTGCAAAGTAAAATGCAACAGCACTGTGTTGATGGAACACTCAAATGTCAATGGCAGATAACTATAGATAATTGTAGACAGAGAACATAGCAAACAGCAGTAAAAGTACATTTACTATTGGACACAGTGGGTAATACAGGCATACCAGAAAAAAGGTAATAGTTACATTTTGTACTAGCCATATGGCAGTATGTGATATCACCACACCCTGTAAACATTCTTCACTCCCCAGCTACATGTGTTATCTCATGAGACATTCTTATACTGGGGATATAAGGCATTGCTGGAACATACAGCACACTTGCTCATATCTGTGTACATTCCCTTGTTAATTAAAACAGTAACATTTGTAAATGATACTACAGTGTTCACCTGAAGTAGGTGCACCCACTAAATTAAAGTGGTGTTAAACCCAAACCTAAAAATGTATTATATTGCAGATTACCACTCATTAGAGGTGGTGGCTCCATTTTTTCCTTGGCTTTTTTCCCCCGTGATCTGGCCAGTAACACATCTCCAGTATTTCTGAGACCCAACTCTGGATGCAGGAGCAACGATAGATACACTAACAAATTGAAGCCCAGCTCCAGCTCACACTTTATAACCAGTAACAGCAAACAGATTTTTCCCTTTTGGGATAAAGGTTTTACATGAATAAATAAAAGATGATCATTTAATCACCCCTGCCAGTGTTGAATGGTTTGTCTCATCCATGTAAACTGATTCATTCTGCTGGAGAGTTGGTGCTTTTGAAAAACACCAGACAAAAACAGAACACAGAAAGACTAAAAAAGAAAACTAATGCAGCCATCACATCTAAGAATTGGTAAGCTGCAATATAGAGAATGTTTACTTTTGGGTTTATTACCACTTTAATGTAAATCTAAACCCTAACTGGTTTTAGTTTGCTAAAGCTTTGCATATCTTAAACAATTGGCATGTTTTTTCATATAAAATATTGTTTTCATCTGTTTTTTTCAGTGCTGACATAACTCCTCCAGGCTGTTTCACCCTCTTCCAATCTACCTGCACTCACACTAGAGTCAGATGCACATCATTGGTCTGAAATGCCTTTCTGATAGTGACAACTGTGCACCATGCTGGTGAAATATGTGACCAGTTGACAGTGCAGCAGCACAGTTAGGAAACAATTTTCACCCCTTAACCAGAGGCACTTTACAAGGACCTTTATGGTAGAATTATCAGATATTATTTTAACCTGATACCACCAGAATTGCAGAAGTGGCTCATTTTCAGAGGCACCACACTTATGTGCACCAGTGTTTGTGGTGGAAGTGTGCTCCATAGAAAACTCTGCATGGAGACCAATCTGTTAAACAGCTCCTGGTCTTGTACTAATGATTAAGTGCTGGGAGGACCAGATCTCACTTGTAACCACTGTGATATTCTGTGATTGGCTATTACAGTGATTAATCAGCAACACTTGACCCTGTATGCTCTTTCTCCCCCTGAATGGAGAAAAAAATACATAAAAATACATTGTATCATTGTATCTTCTCCTATACAGAGAAGAATATAGAAAAAAATCTGCATGTAAAAAAGTAATAATAATAATTCAGGTAAAAGAGCAAGATTGGAGCTAGGTCAAGGCTAGTCAGTGTCAAGGTTAAGATTACAGTAAGGGATAAAGGTCAGAATTTAGGGCAAAACTTGGAGTCAAAGGTCATGGCCATACATGTTAGGTAGGATTGGTAAAACAAAAGGTTTTTTTTTTAGTGTGCAATATGGTTTCTTGACGCTACTGTGGGTACAAACAACAAATAATATGCACATATATGAACATCAGGAGTAGGATAATTCATTATTTTTTCAGTGGTAGATCATGGTAATGGTAAGAAATATACAGATCATTTGTTTTAGAAATCACTATTTTGGCCCAGTTTTCCTTTGACAATGAAAAATGTGGAGATGTTTATTACTGTTTACCACCAAATAAAGGCCCAATTTATCCTGAAAAAAACTAGGTATGACTTATCTGGATACATGTACAGTTTTGCTAATGCATACCAAACTTGAAAAACTGCTTGCAGGCAGTAAGATTTGTTTTACCTTCAGGCATTAAGGAGATTTAAAATTGTGAAAACAACTTCTAAAATCTTAAAATGTAAAGGCGTATATGAAATGTTAGTGATTAGGTTTGGATCTATCTGAATAACATTTATCCCTGGTTCACACCAGTGAGACTTGTCATTCAACTTGACAGTTCAATGTCACATGACAAGTGGCACCCTATTTGTGGCAATGGAACAGTTTAAATTGGTGTTACTCAAATTACAGTGACTTTGAAAACAGTTCCTACACTATTTGCATTCACATCTCTTAGATGAAAGTCGTACTGGTGTGAACCGAGCCTAAGTCTTCTAATGCACTGTGAAAACAATTGTCTTTCTAAGGTAGCCTGAAGTCTCCTTGCTGTCACTTCATGCATACATGCATGCCCTTCAGCAATGGCTGCATAGCATTTTCAGGTCAGATTTCCTTATGGTGACAACTAGGAACGAATGACTTTAAAAAAAATTGCAAATTTTAATACAACCCTAGTGAAACATATGGCTAGGATAATTATGCAGATTTAAAAAAAAAAAAAAGGTTTTTATTTTATGAAAAAGGAGAGGGTTCTTCTTGCATGTGACTACAAGGGCAACAAGGAAAAAATTCTCCTTTCAATTACATGATTGGGAGATGCCTTTAAGTTGTTTGTGGTGATATAGGAAAAGTATGATTCTCACAGACAGCATCAGCAACAATATTAATTCTGGCAACTCGCATGGTAATATTTTTATTTTTTTTCTTATAATCTCTGGCAAATACACCAGTAGCAGCACCCCAACCTGATTTATCAGAACTTAAAAAAAAGTGTAGATAGTTTTGGCCATGACATTTGATTTTTTTTTATCTAGCTGTGATAAGCCTTAATTGAACCGTGGAAATAGCAGTCACAAAATATTTAAAAGCTATAGGAATGTGTGCTCTTTAAAAAAAATAAAGCTAAAGCCCTCAACTTCATACGAATTGGACAGAGGCAAAACAGTTATATAGTATAGTTTGTGAGCTTCTTTTTTGGGGGGGAGGGGCAGTAAGACGTTGCTTTAAAGATTTATAAAAAATGACATAACAGAGTGCTCAAAAATTCCCTGAACCACCTCCCATTCCTGTATCCCCAATTATTCCCAAAATATTTGAAATATAGACTCTGTGTATGTATTTCATAGAAATTGTCTAGAGTCGGGACAGTGTGTGTGCATTTGCAAATCCAGAAAATTAAAATAGCTCTGTAGTGTGGGCCTTTTTTCACTGTATGTGCTGTTAACAGCACTGTTGTGTTCTGCAGCCTCTGCCTGCAGAGTAACAGCCGTTGTAAGTGTACATGCCATTTGGCTGCCAAATATATGAGGAAACAGGA